GCCACGGATTCGAATCGTCAGCCCGCGAAGTCCTTCCCAGCTTTTGCTTGCCCGGCTCTGAATTGACCCCCCGCCCCCCCCCGCCCTGAATTGTCAGCCCGCGCCCCCCCTCCCCCCGGGCAGACAACCCGGGATTGGCCGCCCTCCATCTGCCGACCCTGCCCCCTCGAAATCGTCCGCCCCAGGATTATATATATATATGTATATGTATATGTATATGTATATATATATATACATATACATTTATATATATATATATATATGGGTAGGCCGGGGGGAATCGATATGTATATGTATATGTATGTATATATACATATATATATATATATATATATATATATATATATGGGTAGGCGGGGGGGGGGGGGGGAAATCGATATGTATGTATATGTATATATATATATATATATATATATATATATATATATATGTATATGTGTGTATATATAATATATATCTATATGGGTAGGCCGGGGGGGGGGGGAAAATCGGTGCCGTCATCCCCCATGGCCGCCCCCCCAAACCTTTTGGGGGGTCGCAGACCCCCCGGGACTGCCCCGGGCCGCTTCCAAATTGCCCACGACAGGCCACGCGGGCCGTACAGATGGTCAAAAAAAGCCTCAAGAGTCCCCGAAGACGCCCAACAGCGCCCCAAGAGGGCCCGAGATGGTTTCAGGGTCGCCGACGAGGCACAAACCGGACCATTCCCTTTGTAAACCATACGTTTTCAGCATACTCGTTGGCTTCGTTTTCGCAGTGCCCCAGACGCCCCCGCGGAGCCCCAACACATCCCAAGAGAGACCTAAGAGGGCCCCAGACGGCCCAAAAAGGGTCGGCCCGTGGGGCTCATGGAACCCCCCGAGACGGCCCAAGAGGCCCCAAAGCCAGCCCAGGAGGCCCCCAAGACGGCTTCAGGGAGACCCAAGAGGGCCTCGTTCGACATCACGGAGACCATTTCTTTATTGTTTGGGGCATGACGGGCGTCATGGCCCCCGCCCCCCATGATGTTATTCCCCCCCAGTGCGCTCCGGGCACTGCCGCCGCGCGCGCTGGGATCCGCGTAGGTGTCCGCGTAAGAATCCGCATAGGAGTTTTGTCCGCAGTCGTCGTCGTCCTCGTCGTCGTCGTCGTCGTCGTCGTCGTCGTCGTCGTCGTCATCGCTCGTGGCTCGTCGCCTATCGTCGTCGTGCGCACGGACGCGGCCGGAGCCTTTTATTTGTTCCGGGCCGATCACGGCAATCATTTGAGGGGGTGTGGAGGGGGTCGATGACATCATGTTTCGCGCCGGCGGCGTCTGGGAATGCCTAGGAATGACGGAGGACGGGTAGCACCAGCATGTAGTTGGCGATCTGCTCCACAACACCTGTGTTCACCACAGTGCCTGCGTGCACCACAGCGCCTATGTACACCACAGTACCTGCGTGCACCACAGCGCCTGTGTACACCACACCGCCTATGTACACCACGGCAGCCGCGTGCAACACAGCGTCAGTTTGTGCTACCGTGCTCGCGGGCACAGCAGCTGCGTGCGTTGCAGTGCCTGTGTGCACCACGGCGCCTGTGTGCACCACAGCAACCGTGTGCAACACAGCGCCACACTTGCATATCGAATGTTTGAAGACATCCGTATGACAAAATGGAGCTTTTGTGGATTCCATTAAAAGCAATACAAAAGAATCCTTTTAGACAAAGAAGCGCCGTTGGAATCTATGAGTTTTCCCTTCTCCGCCCGAATCACCCCAACTTCTCACATCTGCGTCCAGGAGGCTCCAGCTAAATTGGCCGTGCGAGAACCAAGCGGGCCGATCCAATCGACCATTATGCGGTGCACTGCGCGCTGAATTGCGCCTGCTGCAGCGCCACCCCGCACGACAAGGGGCAAGGAGGAGGAAGAGGAGGAGGGGGAGGAACAGGAGGAGGAAAAGGAGGAGGAGGAGGAGGAGGAGGAGGAGGAGGAAGGGGAGGAGGAGAAGGAAAAGGAGGTGGAGGTGGAGGTGGACCAGGAGGGAAGACGGAAGAACGTCGCATTCGATTGTCAGAACTGTCCCGCACGCAGGCACTGGTGTACCGTCGCGCTGCGTTGCACGCGGATGCTGTGGTGTAGACAGGCGTTGTGGCGTGCGCAGGCGCCGCGGTGCACGCAAGCATTGTGGTGTACACAGGCGCTCTGTTGCACATGGTTGCCTCGGTGTACACATGTAACACCGGCGCTGTAGTGTACGCAAGCACTCTGGTGTACACAAGCGTTGTGTTGCACACGGTTCTTGCGGTGTACGCAGGTGTTGTGGTGCTCGCGCGCGTTGTGGTTCACGCGGGCGATGTGTACAAAGGCGCAGTGGGGCATATCGCCACCTACATTTTGCTCGCGTCGTCCTCGTCGTCGTCGTCGTCGTCGTCGTCGCTCGTTGCTCATCGCTCGTCGCGTCGTGCGCGCGAGCGCGGCTATGGTGCCAGAGCCACACGGCGGGTGGGGCGTTACGTCATACCCCCCCCCGCCCCCCCCCCATGGCGCCTGTCATCGCCGAACATAAAGAACCGTTATCATGTTCCCGGAAGCCTCTCCGGGAGCATGATTTCCGGGTTTCCAGGACGCCGAGGGCCCGAGATGGCTTTACGATGGCCGAAGAGGGCCCCGAGACGGCCTTCAAGAGGCAAAAATCTGCCCATGCCCCCCGTAAAACGTACATTTTCAGCATGCTCGCTTGCTTCGTCTTCGCAGTCCCCCAGACGCCCCCGAGGAGCCCCAACACAGCCCAAGAGAGACCCAAGAGGGCCCAAGACGGCCAAAAAAGATCGTCCGGTGGGGCTCACGGAACCCCCCACGACGGCCCAGGAGGCCCCGAAGCCGGCCCAGGAGGCCGCCAAGACGGCCTCAGGGAGGCCCAAGAGAGCCTCGTTCGACATCATGTTCTTGGAAGCCTCTTAGAGAGCCGAGCAAATCATGCTCCCAGGAAGCTTCCCGGAAAAATGATTCTCTATCTCAGAGTAGGCCCAGAGGGGGGGGCGGGCCGCTGCCTGTTCCCCCCATCGGTGCCCACCAGGGGTTTCGGGGGGGGGTCCAGAGCTCCCGAGGCGGCCTGAGCCCGCCCCGAAGCAGGCCCCGACAGTCTAAGGGGGTCCCGAGAGGACCAAGACGATCCCACGAGGCCCCGAAGACGCCCAAGATGAATTCAAGACAGCCGACGAGGACTCCAACACGCTCCAGGACAGACTCAAGACAAGAGACTCCCCAAGAGGGCCCTGGGAGGCAAGATTCACTAATTTTCCGATGTTGTTGAAGGATTTAGGCGTTCTCGCTTTCCCCGCTTCCCAGCGCTCCCTCACGGCCTCGCTCGGAGGCCCTTCAGATCGCTCCAAGACAAGCCACGAGGCCCCGAAGAGGGCCCCAAGACGGCCCAGGAGGCTCCCTAGACAACCCAACTGTGCCCCAAGAGCTCCCCAAGAGAGGGCCCAGAGGGGGACCGCCAACTGATATTTCGAGGTCTCTGGCCCTAGAGGCCGCCTGTAGGCCCCCCGAGGCCACCAAGAGGCTCCCACGAAGCCCCGTGAGGCGCCCAAGAGGCCCCCAGAAAACCCCAAGAGACCCCCAAGGGGCTCCCAGGGAACGCCCAAAAGGCCCCCCAACACACCCCAAGAAATCATGTCCCCGGAAAACCTTCCCGGGACATGGTTCATCATGGGCCCGAGAGTTCTTGGAGGTTCCCAAGGGGCCCCCAGGGAACGCCCAAGAGACCCCCCAACACACCCCAACAAACCAAGTCTCCAGAAAGCCTTCCAGGGACATGGATCATCATGGACCTGCGAGTCTCCGGAGGCTTCGAAGTACCATCATGATACAGGAGAGCTGTCTTGGAAGTTGATTGGGAACGTGACTGATCGCCTTCTCGCGGCCCTCCGCAGATCGTTTCGCACAGAGTTGTCCCAAGTGCCCTCTTGAAACGACGACAACGACGACGAAACGACGAAGACGACGACGACGCGGACCACGACGACGAGGACGACGACCTTACGACGACGACCTTGCGACGACGACGACGACGACGACGACGACGACGACGACGACGACGACGACGACGACGACGACGACGGCACGCCCCAACAGGCTCCCCAAGACGCCCCCAAACTCATGCCCCCAGAAGGCCTTCTGGGAACCCGATTCATACTGCCTCCGCCCCCCTGCACAACCATTTGCCTCGAAGGGCTTTCGGAATGCAGATTGGCATGCGTGGACTGTGGTCCACTACTTCAGTGGAAACATGATTTCATCAAGGTCTGGGGCCTGCTAGAACCTGAGCGCGCGCGAAGCGCGCGCGCGCGATGGTTCTGGTATATCTATATTTATGTATATATACATATATATATATAAGATTTGTGGATTAAAAGAGTGTGCTCACATTGGACAAGGACACATTCATAGACATATACATATACATAAGCATGCACGTATGTATGCATTCATTTATTACATACTTATATACATACACAAGTAAACATACATTGCCGATATGGAGAGAAGCGCGAGGACAGCACAACCAAATCAATAGTTCGGCGGTCTGCGTGTCCAGGCCTCCGACGAGTGACTTCTGCCACAGCGTGGACCCCCGAAGGGGTTGACCTTTCTCTCCTGGGACAGGTCTTTGGATCGTTTGCTGACGGCCCTGGAATCCGAAACTGGCATCCATTTGTTCGAGGTGCTGCCTGGAGTATAGTTTTCAGAGCAGCTCCTAGCACGAACCACAGGTGTCCTTGCAGCGCGCGCGTCCTTCGGGATGGTTGGCCATCTGGCTTGCTTGCTGGGCGTCTGGGCGCGGAGGTCGGCAGACTTCGGACGGGGACGAGGATACATCTGTTCCAGAGCGTTCGCGGGCCCTCTCAGAGCGTTCCGAGAAGGCCGCGGCGCCCCAGACATCCTTCAGAACCGCAAGATCTCTCAGAGATTCCCCGTTGATCCTCGTCCGATGTTGATCCTCGCCCTCGCTCGGTCTTGAGCGTGCCGCAAGCCGCAAGCCGAGGTCGCGCCCTGTCGTGGTGATAGGCGCGCAGCCGCCGCCCGAGACAGGCTGAGGGGCCTCCGCCGGGCGCCCGCGCGGCGCGTGCTCGCGCGCGACCGCCGCCGTGGCCCTCGAGGGAGCGCCGCAAGAGCTCGCAGGCGGTGGCTCGCCGCCCAGTCCGCGTCGACTTCGATGCTCCAGGCCTCCCAGATGGGATCGGTCGGAGTAGATTAGATGGGGCTGGTGGATGGTGCCGCCTCGCCCATGCATCGACGATGCGGCTCGATGTGGAATCCGTGTTTTCCCACGCCGACGTCGCCGATACATCGGCGATGTATTGGCGATGCGGCGCGATCCTACGACCCCATCTATTCGGACCACATCTAGGAGGCCTCGAGATGCGCTCCGAACTGCCCGCCGATTCCTGAGTTCAGTCAAACCGCGCAGTGAGAATGAGCGAATTTTGCCGCTTCCCTGGCCGAGCCCCGCTCGCAGAGTTTCGGCATGCCCTTCCGAGGCCCTTGCATCCTCATCGTGCGTCCTTAAGATACGGGTTGACCCCGGGGCCTTCAGACGCCATTCAAAGTTGCGGACGCCGTCGGCCGTATTCGTCGTCCGTGCCGTTGTCGCGATCATCGTCGTCGTCGTGGTTGTCGTCTGAGTGCGTCGTCGCCGCATTTTGGCTGAATTGGATGCTGGTGCTTCCCACCACTTGCTGCCTTCTTCTGCACAGTTCTTGCTGGGGCTGCGCTGGGTTACATAGTAAAAGAGTAGTTGCTCCTTCGGTCTCAGTTTCAGTCCCCGCCGCCGTCGTTCGTCATCGTCGTCGTTGCCGTCGTCTGCGGCCGCCTGTTTGCCTGTCTGCTCTTCCTCCTCGAGCCTGTCGCATCCCCTTTCTTCCTCTGCCCCTCGCATTGTCGTCTCTGGGCTTTTCGTCCTGCTCCTGTAGTCTCGCTCCTCATTCCTCCTCGCGGTTCACCGCGTCGCTGCTAAACATGGAGCCTTCGGCACTGTTGTCCTCTCCCGCTGTCGCAACCAAACCAATATTGAACCTGGGTGGTAACAGGTGATTCAACATCTCCCCCCTCCCAGGATCCATTTCGATCCGATCGATCCGATTTGATATCGATTCCAGCCGGCCCGATCCGATTCGATTCCGGCACTCCCACGATCCGATGCGGCCCGATGCTTGTATGCCGCTGTTGTGCATCCTGGCGCAGCCGACCCGATTCGATTCCGACCCCGCGCCGATGCGGCCTGATCTCGACGAACCTTCCGATCGGGTCCAGTTTCCCCGAGTCGGTGCTGGCCACTCCTGCCGTCCTCGAGGAGGGCCGCGGCGGCCCCGAGGAGGAGCCGGCGGCGGACGCCTCGCCCCAGCTGCCGCCCGACTGGGTGCCTCTGGAGTACGAGCTCCTGGAGTGCCCGGGCCGCCGCCGCCGCCCGCCGCACTGGCGCGCTCTGTGCAGGGCTCGCTGCCGGCGTCGCCGCGGCCGCTGCCAGTCGTCGGCGGCGAAGTCCTAACCTCACCCTCGAGGGGAGAGTGTGGCTCGATGGGCGTTGGGGCTATGGTTCGGAACTCGTCGAACACGTGGCGAAGACCGAAACCTCCCCCCGCCTCCCATCGATTCAGGAGGATCGATGGTTGGTGGGGGTTAGGACTCGGATGTCGCCACTTAATTCGGGGACAAGGGACGCCTGTCCGGCCGATGCACCTGCAGCTAAACATTGGTAGTTTAGGCAACGGTATAGTTGGCCTTCGGGGGGGGGGGCTCTCGTCGCCACGGCTGGACGTGGCTGGGAGAATTGAAGCGTTTGAACCCCAGGATGGGTTCCGGGGACCGGCTTTGAGTTGCCGTTGAAGTGGCCACATTGGTTGATACCGCCGCTGTCTCATGCCCAGCCGCCGCCGTTGTCGATCCTCCCGGCTGCCGCCGCCGTCGTCCTCCCGGTTCGGGGCAGGGCTCGCCGTCGGGGTCGCCGCAGACGCTGCCGATTCTGGCGGCCACATCCCCGACATGTTATTGTCGTGGAGGGGATCAGGGCGGGAGGGGTTTGCCCGTTTCCGGCCTTGGGGGCATTCGCCTGGCCCTGAGACCATCAAAGAACGACTCGGGATGGAATACCGGCCCCGCGGAGTGGGACCCGACGTCTGGGGTCCTTCCGGGATTAAATCACCACGTCGTTTAGGCCACAGTCTTTGTTGGGCGCATTCTCCGCACTTTTCCGTCCGTCACTCAAGCAGTGGCGAAGCGTCCCGACCTGCTTATAGGCCCACCAAAGAATGTTTTAATAACCGTCCATGGTTTGCACGAGATGCTCTTAGTTTTATGTTTGACCGAGGCCGCTCTGTTTCAACGTCTGAGTAGGGTATATTCTGTTTCGCGCTACGAGAGTCTTGTTTCGCTTCGCAGAGCCTCCTTTTGTTAAGAGAGCATTCCCGAGCATGGGGGAGCCAGGTCCTGGGCCCTGGGCCTTCCCCCGGGACCAGCTCTGCCTCCCGAGTGTTAAGTCGGGCCTGTCCCCCTACAGGGGGATTTTCGACGAGAAATGAATAATACCCCACAAATAATCAAACAATAGTCTAAAAATAGTCTGGGGATTATTTTGTACATTTTTTTACCTTCTTGGGGTATGTTGGGGGTATTTTTTTATGTTTCGTAGAGAATCACCCTGTAGGGGGACACGCCCGACATAACCCGAGTGGCGTCCTGACCGAAGGCGGGGAGGAAACCTCAGGGCCCATTGCCCTCCCGCTGCCCCCACGGCGAATTCTGTGGCAGGCCCGCCGCCGTCCCCGCCGCCGCCAGTGGCCGCCGCGCGCCTGCCGGCCCCCGCGGAGGTACGCGGGGGCGCTCCCGCCGGAGCTGGCGCTGAGGGTGGCCCGCGAGCTGGAGGCGGCCGGCGCCGCATCTCGAGGGAGGGGGCACGATGACCATGGAGCAACACGCGACGGAGGAGGGAGAGGAGGAGCAGGAGGAACAGGTACCGACGGACATTGGTATCCTTGTCCCGGCTCGGGCCTGTCGGGCCTCCTGGGAGGCCCTCGTCGCCGTCGCCGGGATCCTCCTCGAAACCCGAATCAGGACGCGCCCCAGGAGGGGTCCGAGGAGTAGCGGTGTCCGTACCGTTTGGTTCCCCCAGGCACACGGTGTCGCGGGATATTAGGAGCCGGCCTGGGGGTCGGAGTGGCAAGGGGGGCCGAGGTTCGAGGCGCTGGGTTGGAGAGTGGTTTTCCCGACCCTCCTGCAGGCGTTGGGTTCTCGTTTTGAGTAGAGCACCGTGGTCTCCACTTCCTTTTCTTCCTCCCTTCTCTCCTTCGTCCTGCTCGCGTCCATTGGGGGCTGCGAAGTGCGCAACCGCCGCCACTTTCATGGGCTCCTGTCCCGCGGAGTGGGGGGACACGGTAATCCAGTTGGGACCTCGCGGCTCTGTGGAGGGCTGCGAAGTGCGCGGGGGAGAAAGGAGAGACGGTCCCACCGCGAGCGCGAGCGAAGCCAGAAAAGAGAGAGCGTTCGGGGTGATGGCCTCGGCTGGGCGCGGGCTGGGCGCGACAGGCCCCTGGAGGACAGTCGCTTCTTATGCCTCTCTCTGTTCCGCAGAGGTGGAGGGCCACACATGGTCGCAGTCGGAGCTGTGCGGCGGCGCAGAGGTTTGGGTCGGCGCGCGTGCCTCCAAGCAGCTCGGGGCAACGGGTGTGGAGCCAGATGCGGCATGCTTCGTTGGCCCCACGCGACCAGGGCGCCCCGCGCGCGCGGATGTCAATCGCGCGCTCGACGGGGGGCACGTCGCGCGTCCTCAGCCTCCCGCGTGGCTTCGGCGGGCGGGGCGAGGTTGCACGCCGACGTGGCGGTGCGTTGCCTGACCGAGGCGGGGGCGCCCTCCGCCCGGGCAGTGGCGCGGGCGGGCCGGGGGCGGGCCCCGAGGGGGGTGGCGGCGGGCGTGCGGGGGCGGGGGGCTCCAGACCCGCCGCGGGCCGGGGGTCGCGGAGCGGCCGCGGGCACGCGAGGGCAGGCCCACGGGGGAGAGCACCACCGCAGTGGAGGTTGCGTATTGTCGGCTCGGGCTGCTCGCGCAGACTCTGAGCGGCGAGGTCGCGCCGTTCAGCCATGTGCAGCCTGGCCCAGCCATCGAGGCGGTGCACCTTCCACCCGCTGACGAAGGCAGCAGGCACCTCAGGGTAGTTGAGCGTGGTGCTGCCAAGGAGCGCGGGGGGAGAAGGGAGGCGAGGAAGTCGGTCCACAGGTCCTTGATTACCACACGCCTAATGTCGTGCACCCTGCCGACCATCTGGGGATCGAGATAGGCAGTGGAAGGGTCATACCCACGCGGGGTCCCAGTGGGGGGAACCACTTGAGCCCGTATGCCTTTGGGCCCGAGCGCGCGCGCGAGAATGGTCAGTAGCACCCGCGGTGGGCAGTGGGCCTGAGTTGAGGTGGTTGAGCAGTGGGCGAAATGCGCACGCCAGTGTGCAGCCTGAAGGTGGAGCTGGCGGTAGTGGCTGACGACTTCCACCAGGTCATCGAATGTCAGCGTGTCAATGGTGACGCCATCGAGCCGCGCAAAGTACCACAGCGCCGTAGGAGAGGCAGAGCGGGATCAGGCGGCGCTGGGGCCGGGCGCGGCGCCACTGGGGGTGCGAGGGCGCCGGCGCATTCGGGGCGCTTGGAAGGCAGGTTTTGGGGCCTCGCGCGGCGTGCTGGCGTCGGTCGGCTGTTAGACCACGCGCACCTACACGCATACGTACGCGCAGACGCACACGCTCACGCACTGGCACACTCACACACAGACACAGACACACACACAGACACACGCACACACTACATAACTACGCACACGCGCACACGCACACGCTCACGCACACGCAAACGCCAACTCACGCCCACACCCACACCCACACCCACACCCACACCCACACACTCACACACACACACACGCACACGCACACGCACACGCACACGCACACGCGCACGCGCACGCGCACGCGCACGCACACGCGCACGCCCACACCCACACGCACACCCACATTCACACTCCACATACGCATACACGCAGCCGCAGAACCGCCACGGCGCCAACGGGGAACCGAATCATGCGGCACCGCCAGGGGCTCTCGAATATTGCAAACATTTCGCTGCGTTGTGCAACGTTGTGCCACGGTGGCGCCTGGTGCCAACAGCGCTGTGCCGTGTCGTCAATGTTCGACGCACTTGCGATTTCTGATGACATGTTGATGCTCGTAGAAGACGCCTACGGCGAACCACCTCCGCCCCTTGCCCTTGTGGAAGCGCCTATGTGGCCGACAGCTGGGCTAGAGCCTGGCCAAGCTAGCGGGCCAGTTGTTCCCCGAGTCGGTTTGGAGAGCCTCCGGGGAACGCGTGGGGGGGCAAGAGGTTTGAACGCGCTCATGTGTCCGAGCGTTGTGGCAAGAGCTCTGCCAAGCTGTCGGACCATGTGTTCCCCCAACCGTTGTGGAAACCCTTCGGGTAACACTTCTGGGAAGATGGCGGGGAAGATCAGGAGGAGGAGGAGGAGGAGG